GAAAGTGCCATTGCAAGGGGAGCAAATCTATTTTCTGCGTATGAGTGCAAATGTGAAGAAGAGGGGATGGAGAAGCAGTGTTGTTTGTGAGGTGTGCAACTCTGTGTTTTGGCATGGTGCTGGATACCACGGGTAGGATACAGCTTATTTTGATGCAAGGCCAAGACACTCTGATGCCAGTCATTTTGAGACCTCATTTGCAATGAGAACTGAATTTCTTTTTCTCCATTCTTTTAGCAGCCATTTTTTTTTTCAAAAGGGTATTTCTAGCATTGCTTGTATAGTGGAATTGTCTTTCATTTCAGGGTGTTCTGCAGCTCAGCTGTGAATGAGGTCTGATGTTTGTGTGCAGCAGATGCCCCGAGTCACAGGGGAGCCCTGACCGTGCAGCACTGCCTGGGTGGAGGCAGCAGATGAACTGAGCATCCCTGCTGCACATCACCCTTCCTCCTCTGCCCGGGGCCTCGGCCCTTCTGGCTCCTGTGTCCAGCGTCCTCGTGTCTGCAGATGGGATGAATGTAGGTCAGAAACGAGTTAAGAGTGCTTTGGATACCACAGGGATGGTTACACGGTTATCCAGACAGACTTCAGGAACGGAAAGTAGCTTTGCTAGTGGCCAAGTGCAGTGTGTTGAGTCCCTCAGCAAGACTCTGTATGAGCCTCAGATGCATTTTTATGAACGATTGTGCTCTCCTCTCATAAAGTATCAAGAACATAAAGGAAGTGCTGTAAAAGCGCTGCCCCCGGAGGATCCCACGTAAGGTGACTGATTAACTTTGGAGCTTTCAGCATTTGTTATTTCCAAGGAACTTTTGGGTTTTAGGTGACCTTCACACAGCCTGCAGCCTCCAGTCCCATTACTGCCATCGTTAAATTACGCAGTAATGAGATTGCTGCAGGTGTCCTTGTTCCTGCAGCTCTCCAAGTTCACTTGTCAGGCTGTGAGTGGCTCAATCTCACACAATAGTTGTTCTACGAAGAAATGTTGACAAATACCAGATTCTTACAATGGCAATTTTAACCTCCTCCATGTGGGATCCTCACAAATTTAAAGAGCTTGAAAATGTCCGTAAGTCTTTTGTGATTTCAGTCAGTGCTTTGCATGATTGTTACTTAATAATTTATCAATTCAGCATTCAGTATGGAGTAATGATTGTCTGGATAGGACCATGCTGTAACTGTGAAGTTGTGGGACAGCCTGATGCTGGCAGGGGACTGGTAGGGCTAGTCTGTCCTGCATGTATATGTGTATATATATATACTTATATATATGCATACTCAAGATTATTTCATGCATTGGAATGACACCGCTGTATTGTCTTGGTTCAGGTCATTGAGCTTCCCAATTACAATGCAGCGATTTCACGTGCATGTGCCCGGGCAGGACAGGTATTTTTAGTTTGCTGTGGGCTCTTGTTGGGTAAGTTACCGTTTGTCATCTAGCCATGCTGAATTTGCAGAAGGAACCAAGGATGAGGTCTAGCCCTCTTGCCAAAGAGCTTTATCAATTTTAGGAGTTCTTTCTTAGTACAGGCTGAGTCTTCCTATCACGTACACAGCGACAGTTCAGCGTGCTGCAGCCATGCACCAGAAGTTTAAGAAAGTACAGCTCCAGGTGTTGCAGAAAATCCAGGCAGAAAGTCACCCAAGAGATTGCATTTGCAGTCCCCTCCTGGTAATCCTTGTAGGTGGCCGAGCACTTCCTTGCGGTGCGGGAGGGCTCAGCACCTCTCGCAGAAGGTGCCCGTGGTCCGGCGGGGCTGGCAGCGCCCAGGGTTCCCGCTGTGATCGCCAGCAGGTGGAGGGGTCCCCTGGGAGCTGCTTCCTCTGCCTGCCAGGCTGGCGCGGGCTTGCCAGGAGCGTGCCAGAGCCTGCCGTCCTGCGGCACAGCAAAATCCGTGAGCTGCATGGCGAAGCATTTGAACTGAACAAGCACCCACAAATACCTGTCGTCTGTCTTCCTCCTGTCGTGTCCATGGGCCTCTTGGCTGACAACGGAGCCTGAGATGTGCTGGGAAAAGGAAACTTGGGGCTGCCCATTTCCGTGAGCCCTGATGCACAACTTCTCCAATAACCACAAGTGGTATTTCTCCTGTGTGCGTGTGTGTGCATACGTGGTGGTGTGCACGTACTTCATCTTGTTTGGTGATGCACTGAGTTTGGGAGCTAACTGTTAATGTGTTGTAAGCTCATAAGGTGATGGAGGGGAAAGCTGTGAGCTGTGGCCTGGACACTGTCTGAGCTGGGATGTGATGCTAGTTGAAATGGTATGCTTTGGTGCCACCAAAATCATGTTCTTTCCCCTCTTGCTCTCGCTCTTGCTCTCGTGTCCTCTGTTGCTCCCCTACCCTCCCCTCCCAAAAAGGGCCAGAAGTTTGGTTGTTTGTAAATCAGTCAAACTTGATGTTTTAAGAGCTGCCTGTCAGCTTAGATCAGGTGTGGGTCTGGTCCATCACCAGGCAGTGAGGTGTGGTGCGAGTGTCTGGGTGCTGTAGCACTAGGCTGTGGGTGCTGCGTGCACGCTCAGGGAGCAGCTGGCTGGCCTGAGGGTTTGCTGGTTGAGCGCAGGATTCGCCCTCTGGGTTGCACAGTTCTGCAAGACCATGCAAGGAGGCTGTAGGGTACTTGGGCAAAGAACAGGTGGAGATGGGGCTTCACCCTGTATTTGGTGGGCTGCAGAGCTTGATGGGATCTAGGCACTAATTTGGAAAGGATATGTTAGTACAGAAGGGAGGGAGCTGAATTGGTGGTGGTGCTGTTACTACTAGCGTTAGGCCAGCAGTGAATGGGCACATCTGTGGGACAGAGGGAGGGGACAAGGTGGGGGATGGAGGCTCTGAAGTGTCTTTGTGTGCTGCCCTGTACCGCGCTGGCCCTGTCGAGCCCCGAGGGGTGCACACGGCGAAGGGGGCAGGCGTGATGCTGCGCTCCCACTGCTGAGCTTCTCCACTGGCTTTTTTGCTAGGTATGCTTTGCAAATGTATCCTGTTGGGGTCCATCACCTACAGGTGACCCAAGTGAGAAAAATATACTTAATCACAAACCTTAGGAAAAGGTAACAATATGTTGTTTATTATGGATTATTTATAAAAATGTTCATGGCATTAAAAAGGCTATTTCTGTGGATGTACTAAAGTGGCGCAAGTGCCTTGTCTGCTCAACAGAGTGCATTTCTGTGCACCATTTTTTTTGGGGGGGGATAAAGTGAAGTTTCTCAAGGTGGGCACATGCAGCAATACACTGTTGCTGGAGGGACCCACTCACAGATGAGGTGTCTGCCTAGCTGCCTTCTGCAGATGGGGTGTGCAGTGGTGGGGAGGGCCTGGGGGGGATGCTCTCCCCTTGGGGTCTGGGAACAGGCAGGTCATTGCACAGACCCATTTCATCATCCGATCTCTGTAATTCTGGCTTGTCTGATGCCTCCGTTGTGCAGCTGCCCCTCGGGAAGCCTGCTCAGCCCAATTGTTCTCACTCTGAATATTTTTTTCTACCATGTAGTCTCACTTTTTCCTCTCATTTCCATCTCAGCACGCCCCCTCCCCGTGGGGCTCCCCTTCCTGACGGACAGAGCCCAGCTGCAGTTCCTGCAAGAGAGAGCCACTCCCTGCGCAGGCTTCCTCACTGTGCAGTGTTCAAAGAGCTGCTAAAAATCTTCCCCGTGTTTGGGAAGCAGTTTGGAACGTGTATTTCTGTCACACCGCATGCCCCGGGTGCTGCACTGTTCCTCTTGCAGAGAGGACGAAGGGTCTGACTGCAATTCGTGAGCAGCGTTTCCTTCTCCGGTGCTTGCCTGTCTTTCCGAGATAAGCCCCGTGTCAGGGATTTGCAGCCTCGGCTGTGTTACGTGAGAAGGGGGAGCTGGAAAAAGTGCAATTGGTCTTTTACTATGGGAGAGAAGTGTCCTCAAAATGAGGCTGGTCAAGGCGAAAAATACAACTCTGACATAAAGAGAAACATTAGAACAGTCTTCCAGTAGTTTGAATATGCCGAACAGAATTCGGTGTGCCTGAGGTTATCGGTTACGGGCAGTGCTAGATAAGGGTCAGCACTGGAGAACAGGTCTGCCTGTCTGCTTGTGGGATGCTTGTTGGTTGTAGGACGCAGCAGGCACCCTGGCGATGCTGCGGCAGAGATGCAGGCTGCCCAAGGCTCCCGTCCCCTCTTCTGCACAGGCAGCCGCTGGGCATCGCAGAGCCCCTCTTCGGTAAAGGTTTCGGGGGGTTGTAGTGTATCTGTCACGGTGTCTGAAGGTCCTTATGAGAAAGCAAAAAAACCTGGAACAGATAAAGTCTGTGGTGTTTTATGAGCTGGAGTTTGGAGGGTCTGAAAGACTTTTTAAGCCTTTGAGCCAAAGACAAGTTTGATTTGCCAGTTAACCCAGCGGCGCTGGGGGGACGTGGGTGAGAGGAGTATGCATTTACACTGCCAGCTTCCCTCAGGCCATTGTCACCCGTTATGTCAGTATTCAAATAATCATTTATCAAGAAATAGTATGTTAGTTTACATGCAAAGAATACAGGATTTCGGGTAGTACTAGATAAATTGAAGTATCATTTTCTAGTTTCAAAAAGGCAATTGAAAAGCTCTCAGGGTTGGTCTCTGTGTACTGATGCAGTTGTTTATTTTGACAAAGAACAAGGTTTTAATGTGAGACCGGTGAATGAAATTCTTCATCTCTTTCTTGGAAAAAAAATCTGTTGGCTTTAGCAAGTCTTGAATTAATCCTGACGCTTGTGAGGGAGCCTGCTCTATCTAGCAGTGCCTATGCTATTTGCTCTGAGACAAGGGAGGACAACCCTCCTGGCCAGTGTTCGTTGCTGATGTTGTATTTTCTTCTTCTCCTCTCTGTGTGCATGCAGAAATCCGAACTCAGCTGGTCGAGCAGTTCAAATGTCTGGAGCAGCAGTCGGAGTCGCGTCTGCAACTGCTGCAGGACCTGCAGGAGTTCTTCCGCAGGAAGGCTGAGATCGAGCTGGAGTACTCCAGGAGCCTGGAGAAACTGGCTGAACGATTCTCCTCCAAGATACGCAGCTCCAGAGAGCACCAGTTCAAGTAAGCAGGCGTTTCCAGGGGCAAAACGGTGCAAAATGATGGGCCAGAGACTGCCTCGAACACTAAATGTTTGTTTGTAGCTGCACAGTCTGAAAGTGGAGTGAACTAAATAGCATCACTGGTGACCTTGTCTGTCTTATCACTGTGCAGCGTTCATAAAAAGAACTAGAAATATTTTTTCCAAGACTTTCACCACAGCATTACTGACCTGTGCTGCCCAAATTAGACTTACTATGCACTTCTTTGCGCAGTACAATAAAAATATGAATCGGGGAAGGAGTCAAGCCCCCCTTTTTTTTTTTTTAAGAGGCTTGAATTCAGCCACTGATTTGATTGTGCAAATAATGGTAGCCCATTTTATAAACCCTGGTTTCTGTATGTAGTCCAATCCTTAGATGTCACATTCTGAGTGTTTCACATTGCACACAGATCCACTTACAGGCTCAGACTTGGAAGCAGTTTCTGGAATCTAATTTATTGCAGTTTTTAAAAATGAAGTATGTATGTTTTCTGTGTATAAACCCGTACAATGTTGAAGCTAGGCAAATCCATAGTGGAAATATTTTGAAACAAAGCTTTGAAATAGGAAGTATGAACTGGATGCTGGAATTGTGTGAAACTGAAACCGATGATGAAAACTGTAAAATCCGTGAATATGTGCAGTTTTCAAAAGCAGCCTCTTTTCAGTTTAACCACACTCTCAAGCTTGGCTAAAACAAAAAAGATCCGAAAAATAAAAAAAGAAACAAACTTGAGGCAGAATTTGAGTCTGGAGGTGACTGTTCTGTGGTGAGGATACGTAGCTTGTGCCATTACGCTGGCTGGTTGGCGGCCGTGACTTCAGGGCTCCCATGAACGCCACCGTCCCGTTGCTGTTGGAGGAGCTGGTCCCCGCTCTCCGGGTGCACCCGAAGTGTGCCTGGTCGGGGCTGTCAGGCTGGGCTCCACGGGACGATGTTCAGTGTTCGCATGTGTGTGTTGGTAGCTGTCAGGGTTTTCCTCCGTGCTGCTCGTTGTGTTCCTTGCCACGACTGGCTCTCCCCGGTGGCTTCTCGGGGCGCGGGGTCTCACTGGGCAGTGTGAGCGGTGCCGCTGAGCTGTGGCTGGCAGGGTCTGTGTCCTGGGGACCACGCAGCAGCGCCTGCAGCACGGAGGCAGATACTCGTTCTGGCTGCTTCCCATGCAGCACATCAGCTGAAGTTCCCCACCATTGCCTCCCCTGGCCATAGCATTTGTCTCTGTCTCTTCTTCTGACAGCAGTGTCCATGAAATAGTCTCTCAACAGAGATTATGCCCTTTGCTCAAGATGAAACTAGTGTTATTCAATGGCCAAAGACTACAGCCACTGTTTAGCTCCTTACCCAGAAAACTGAGGGTTTTGCCTGTCTGATGCACTTAGCCTTGCTAGCCCCTGGCTCTTTTCAGTCTTTTTCTAACCCCTTGTGATTTTTTTTTTTCCTGTTTCAGCTGCAAGAGCAGCGATTTCTGCTGTTACATTACTAAATCCTATTTATTCCATATTGCTAAATCCCATTTAATCTGTTTACTCGGTCTCTCTAGTGAGCAAGGCTCTACCGTTGTCTTATGCAAAAGTCTGCTGAAAATGAATTGCCATTCAAATGCTATCTGTTCTTTTTGTATCTGACTTGCTTGGCAGTTGTGTGGTGCTGGGCTGGCACCGCTGTATCATGCGTCAGGGATAACTGTCCTGGGGAAGGAATTGGCCAGTATGGGCTTGGGAAGGTGCCCTTGTTCAGAGATGGAGCCCGTGAAGGCTCGTCGTGTGTGTGTGCGCACGTGCCTCTCCCATCAGCTGAGAGCAGTATTATGGCACTGCCATTGCTTATTGTGCTTACAATTTTGGAAGGATGCTGTTGTGCAGTACCTACAGGTGACAATGATTCTCCACCTTTCTAGAACAGCTGGGCACAAGTGCCTGGTGGTTTGTGATGGTATTGATAGTGTTAATAGGGTCAGCTTGATTTCAGTGCACACTTCTGCCGAGTCCTCACTGTCTGTCTCTGTGTTGAGAGAGACTCCCTTAATATATTTTTCTTCCAGATTGCTTTGAACCTGCCCTTTATTAGGTTCATCTGCACTGCTTCCCCAGCTTGCTCATGAATGTCATTATTCTGATGAGGCTTTTGACACTCTTAAGAAATATGGTATCTTCAGCTCTTCCTTTGTCCCTGTGTAGCCATGTGCAGCAGGCTGTGGCCTGGCCCTTAATAGTGGTAATTGCTGCGGTGCTGCTGCTGGGTGGTTCATGGTGATTCCGGGTTGACAGACTCATTCATGCTTTTATATGTGGTTGTTTTGTCTGTATGTGCATGCAGAGATTTTCTGGAGTCACCGTGCCTTCCTCTCCACGGGTTCAGTGGTGAGGTGGGCTGCGGCAGCCCTGGTACCACAGACGAGAACATCTTGCGTGAGGAGGAGTATGTCTGTGAAGGCTTCAGCTGCACAGCGTAGCTGTAGTGAGCATGGGCTAGCTTTCTGGTTGCAGGACTTCTTGGGAAGGACAGACTTGTTTGAGCACAGGGGGGGTCTGCAGCCCGTCTCCATCACGGCTGCGTTGCCAGCGCCATTGGTGCCTGCAGGCTGCAAAGCCTGGGTGTGCAGCAGACCTGGATCCCGTGAGGGTAGAGCAGCGGGCGCTCCCTGGGCAGCTTGCAGGTGTCTTTAGGTGCTGGGAGGGGAGAAGCCTCTGGAGCTTGAGTGGGTCCATCAGGCATGGCTGTTGGCACGTGGGGAGACCTGCCCAGGCAGGATGGTGGCAGGGGAGGTCTCCGCTGAAAGGGGCCATTTCTCTGGGACCAGCACGTCTTCTAGGAAAGCGTTGGTTTGACCAGAGAAAACAGTGTAGGTGAAACGTTTGGAACAAATCACTTGGCTGCTTCATTCAGAGGATCTATCTCAAAGTGTCTCAGTTGGACAATGTGAAATGTTTTGTTTCAGTTGTGTAATTTCTGGAATTTTTGATTCACTTTTGATTAATTTGCCTTCAGTACTAAAAGCAGTACTTGGAAAGCAGTGCAGGTTTCTCTCAGTGTTGAGATGGAACATGTCAAAATTAGTTAAGCTCTACTCAAGTGTGAAATGTTTGCTGAAATTTCCCTCAAAAGAGAGTTTTTCTGACCACCCCTGGCTTCCAGGTGAGTCAGGGTCTTGGGATGCCCCTCGGCAGGGTCTCGCCCGGCAGCGACGGGTGGGGATGAACTTGCTCTGAGGATGCTGCGTGGCTCCCGGGGACTCTTCAGGTCACCTGCCCTGATGCCTGCTTCTGCTCACGGCAATCTCTTTGTTGTCTGCAGTGCAAGTTGGATTAAGACCGTCGTAAATATTCAGCGTACATTAATGTATTCATGTTGTGCACAGACACTTCGTGTTAACGTTGGATGCAAAACATTTTCTCCAGCACTGTTCAGTGGACTAAATGCAGTATAACAGATTGTGTGGCAAACGATCTCTTTCTGAAATGGAAGTGACAGTGGTATTAATAGCACAAAGTGGAAAAAAGAAGCAAAACTATCTATCTCCCTTGCAAAGTGTTGAAGGGATTGCCAGGGATGTCTCTTCTCTTGTACCATCTTCCAGAGCACCCATTTTGGGAAGGGTCTGGTTGGGGGTCTGATTTGGTACGTGTGCTCATGTGCCTATGTCCCTGCGGGGAAGGACTTGTATGGCTAAAAGAAACTCTGAAAGATGTTCCTGGAAACGGGAGCTGGGCCACAGATGGGTTCCCAGCCCGGCTGGGGCAGGGGACCAGCTCTTGTGTTGTCTCCATCTGACTCGCATGTTTTCGGGTCCTTCAGAGCTGTTGCCCGCAGTATCTGCACTGTGTTACTGTAATATTGCTAACTGACCTTGGGGTCAGTGCCCCAGGAAGTCAAGGTAGGGCAGAAAAAACAAGCTGTGTAGGGCAGATTGTCTACAAAGATCCATATATATGTGTACTGAGTGAAGCACAGGGCTGTGCCCAGGGTCAGCATCAGAGCATCCATCTCCCCTGCACAGAAAGCTTCTGTCCTGCCACCGGCAGCTGTGGGAGGCTGGTAAATAAGGATGAAGCTGCGGGAGAGAGCAGCTTGGGCCAAAGAATGGGAATTTCTTGGCTTGATTGAAACCCTCATGTATAATATTTAGACTGGGAGCTTCTGTGTTGGCAGAGATACTTAAGCACCTTTCCCGCACCAAAGAGGAGGTGCCGCTGTGGTCAGCCGGTGGGCAGGCAGCCGTGTGTCTGAGCACGGGGTGTCTGCCGGGCACTGCCATCCCGGTCGGGGCAGCAGCTCTGGGCCAGTACTCGGACCTGCACCGATGACCCCGCGGCGTCTGCCGAAAGGACGTGGCTCTGAGCTGGTGGAGAGTCCGTGGTGCGCCGGTCGCCTCCATGGCAGACCTGTGCCGCTGCCCCAGGCGACTGCGGCCCTGGGGAGGGGGAGGTGAGGGGTGGCAGCAGCGGGAGATGCTGTGGCCGGGTGTCCTCCCCACAGGTCGGTGGGGACGGTGCTGTCGGGAGCAGTCCGGCAGGAGGAGGCCGTCGTGCTCGCAGCCGTGTGCTGGAGAGGCGGACTGGCTCTTCGACTGCTGCGCTGAGGGGCCATCAGGTGCTTGGCTGGATTCTGCAGCTGGTTTCTGGGGAGGGGAGGCAGCCAAGAGGAGCTCACACACTTTTCTCTGGGTGTGTGACGGATTCTAGCGGATATATGCAGTGGAGGAAGGCAACATTAATATGCTGACAACATTCATTTGAAAATTACATGCCTTTTTGATTTGTTCACTTGACCTTTTCGATTTTTTTTAATTTTTTTTTTTTTTTTAAATTCCCTAGGAAAGATCAGCACCTACTTTCCCCTGTGAACTGCTGGTACTTGGTTCTGACGCAGACCCGGCGAGAGAGCAGAGATCACGCCACCCTGAATGACATCTTCATGAACAATGTCATCGTCCGGCTGTCGCAGATTAGTGAGGATGTCATCAGGCTCTTTAAAAAGGTAAAGCAGCGATGGAGAGTTCTGCCCAGTGAGGATCCATCCTTGTATTTTAGCCTGAAAAAGAAGCTTATTGTAGACTTGTACGCAACTGTGGCCCCCCCAAAGTCTAAAGAGGTACAAAAAAGCCGGCATTTTTAAAAAGCAGAGAAAGGTAACAAGACTTTCTAAGAAGTACACATCACATCTTAATGAGGAAACTAGAGAGGCGTTTGAACTCTGGACAGCGAAAATGTAAAACCATAGTAAGGCAGGCCAAATAAAATTCTCAGAGGCAACTTGCTAAAGACATTAACAAAAACTTATCCAAATTCACAAGGAAGAAACCTGCCACAGGGTGTGGAGGGGGATAGGTGGGTGAGGTGCAAAAAGGCTACGAGGTGACAGCCAAAGGCCGACTGGCTTCTTTAGCTTGGTACTCGTTATGGAAAAGCTTAGACTAGAGATTTTCTTGGGGGGGTGGTGGTGTTACCAGCCTGAGGAACCTTATCCAACTGAATTGTCGTTAGGTGTTGCAGAGCAAATCTGTACAAGGGACTGCCACTTATAAGTCTTTCCAGATAATATTTATCCAAGAATTTTAAAGAAACTGGGATATAAAACTGTCAAGTGACTAGCAGTGAGGTGTGACCTGATGCTTAAACTGGCATCGGTGCCAGAGAAATGAAAGGTAGAAAACACGATGACTTTTTTTTTTTTAAAGACTCCTGGAGGGCTTCAGAGAGCAGATCAGCAATCCGACTTTAAAAACAGACTTCCTGGGTGAAACTTTGCTAAAGAGCAGAATGACAGGCATGTAGGCAGATACAAGAGAGGAGTCTGTGGCTTTCTTAAGAGAAGAGTCATGCCTCATAAATCTAGGGGAGGTATTTCCAGGAGCCAGTGATCATGTGAATAAGTTGTCACAGTACCTGCAGCGTCTTAAAGGCTTTGGAAAAGGTCCCTCACTGAAGTTCTTAAAGAAAAGAAGCTGTTAAAGAATAAGGAGTGGTTGTTTTCTGGATTAATGACTGGTTGAAAGACAGGGAACAAAGGGAAGGAGAATTTCAGTGGAGTTCCTAATAAATTATTTGGAGAAAAGGATGAATAGTAGATGACAAAGTCTGCTGATGATACAGAATTATTAATGATAACCAAATTAAAAATGAGCATCAGACTTGCAGGAATCTCGCAGTCAGGTGGACCGGGACTCTTCAGTTGAAAATGAGGGGGGAGTGCGTAATGTGGTAAGAGCTTGGAAAGTCACAGGCAGTTGGTAGGAAGTGAGCAGG